GGGTAAGTGGAAGGAGGTGAGGGAGGAATGGGGCACGAGCCCCAGATGGGAAGAACTGGGCTCGCTCTGCGGGCTTTTGGGGTGGAACCTCTCCTGCAGCCCCCCGATTACTCCCTCTCCCCAGATGGCAGCCTGTCGCAAGTGCAGCCGGTCTGATGGCCAAGTGCTGTGATGTGCCCAGTGTGGGTACTCCGGGCACTCCAAGCTAGGACTGCTTTGCAAGCGGGGCACCCCTGAGAACTGTCTGTCCGGGGTGGGGGTTGGAACCCTTTAAGCACAGTCCTTGGCTAGCCTGAGACAGCATCTCCACGCTCTAAGTCCTCCTCTGATGCCCTGCTGGCACTGCTTCCGGCCATCCTTAAGCCTGGTTCAGGGTCCACTTAATGTGGACATGCTAGTTCGAATTAGCAAAACGCTAATTCGAACTAGTTTTTTAGTCTAGATCCGTTAGTTCGAATTAGCTTAGTTCGAATTAACTAATTCGAACTAAGTTAGTTCGAATTAACGTTGTAGTGTAGACGTACCCTTAGAGACTAAAAGGAAACTTTTGTCCCATTAATGTACAGGGGATTTGCTCCTATTAATACAAAAGGGTATTATACACATTAATCCTCTTGTGTGTCAATGAGGGACTTGGTACCTAGAATAAACATTCTAGAATAACCACCTTTACAAGAAAAAAAAGGGAAAAAAAAGCATTTCCCCCCTGAATATGGAACTATAATGCTTCCTTCACCTTCACTCTCTCCAAAAATCCAATCTTAAAACAGATCTATTAAACAAGCAATATGTGGGCCACTTACTTCACCTGCAATCTTTGCATTGCAACAAATCTCTCCATTTGTAGAGGTGTCAGCTTCTTTTCCACCCTTTTCCACACCCTTCATTTTTTCGTTTTGAAGCTCAGTTCTGTGCTTAACTCAGCTCACTCCCTGCCTCCCCCATTCCAAGAAATCTGATATTATTATCTATCCAGATAGTACTTATAACTTGTCCTTCTCTTCTAAGCAATAGGGTTTTTTTCATAGCTACTCATAAGCATAAATCCAACAGATGACATTCCAGAGTATGGGAGGAAGGTGAGGAGAGGAGCCAACTGCAGAGAGTGATCAGACTCTTTGTTTCTGGTTTATGTTTGTATTTATATTTGTTACTTAAAATAAAATAATCAGGTCCAGAAGTGAGACTGAATAGTGCCTTTTCTGAGATTAATGTCAGAAAGCAAGCTGAGAAAAGCGTGTTCAATGAAGACCGGTTGAAGGAGGTCATACAGGAGGTGGGAGGCTAACTCAGGCAAGAAGCTGTATGTAAAAAGGCTGACATAAGGCTACTACACACCACAGACGCTCTTTATAAAACTCCCTTGTAATATACACTTCCTTATCACTTACCAAATACTTGGCTACTTATACAATCAGAGTACTGCACTGTATATGAAGTCTGAATTGAAACAGTCAGCAAGCAGGACATTTGATCCCTCTAGATCTCTTTCTCTCTTCCATAACACTGAGTGCTAGAACAGCTAATGACAAAGTGTAACAATAACATAAAGAAGTAAAACAACAGCGTATTTGAGGCAGATAAGACAATTCCAGTGCATGGTAAGAAACGCAAGCAATAAACAGGGATTTCTTGAACTAAGCCAGGCTGATCACTGAAATCAGCTTAGTACCCTCCTGTTACCTGCTTTTGAACATACCATTCTATTTGCAACAGCTATGACAGCAGACCGCATATTGTGCAAAAACGTCAATTAGGCTTGACTAAAGGGAAGCCATGAAATGTTCCTGTTGTCTTAAGAAAGAGGAAAATATTATTTTCGAATCAGCCTTAAGTTCAGATCAAACCAGACCAGTGAGATTGGTATAACATTTCATTACAATCTCAGCTGATACAGGTCTTGCTGCCAGTCAGCATTTTGCAGGGTTTCCAAATCTGGTACCCACTGATGGCAACTGCTGGGTTGTGGAGGGGTGGGGGTGCTGGGCCAGAGAAGTGGAGGAAGTTGAAGGTTAACTCCAGCACTTGATCTGAAATGAATGGTGCCTTGCACACTTCCTGTTAGTCCTTCTTTACCAAAGTATAGCTTGGACATATCAGAGAAGTCATGGTCTTTTTACTACAGGAACCCTATGGAAGACAATGCCCAGAACACCTCTGATTTCTCTGTCAAATGATATAGCTAAAAAATTCCATGCTTATGTGCTCAGAATCTGTAGACATTACATACTTAAAACTACCCCATAACAAAACAAAGTCACTTGCATACAGCTAAATCCTTGAATGTAGCTTGGAGTCTTGGGCAATTTGACTATAGTTTGTGGTCTGCAAAATAGTTAAAAAAGAGTGAGTTTCACTTTGTTTCTGTTGTTTTGTAAGAATATTGGTAAGGACCTTTAGTTTGATTTTGTTTTTTTTCCATTATCTGATGCCTGTTTCTGTGTGTGATAAGTTGTATCTCTCTAGCTGCCCCTTGAGGTGTCTTGGATACCCTTCTCTGGTGGGTGGCATGACAGTAGTTTGGATTATGTTCTTTGGACATACAGCTCTTAGGGAGCCTGCCCTCTTCTGGTCAAGTCTAAAATAATCCAAAAGAAAAAGATAAAAGATGCCTATGGGCTAGGTCCACCAAAGGGCTAGGTCCTTCCAGCCTCATACAGGGTAAAAGCCAACAGACTTCCGAAGGAAGAACTGGGCTCCATATCTCTTGCATGTCCATGCAACCAAGGCTGAATCCCAGGGCTTCACAAAGGAAAAGCTAGTCCCTTTTTTCCAATCACAGGGCTCAGTGTAAGTGTTGCTCTCAAGCAGTTTTTCCAGTAGGCAGCCTGCTGCCTGAGACCAGAGAACTCTGTGCTCTACTGTAGTTTTTTTTTTTACTGGATGCCACCCAGCCTGAGCCTGGATCCCCCTTTTCAATGACCAACCCTTAAAAGATTCATAAGTCCTTTAACTCCTTTTTGACTTGCGCCCTGCCACATGAAATTCCCAATTTCCAGTTAAAGTAAGCTGATACTAGCAGTGTAACCAATGAGAAGTGACATGATGAAAGAGCACTTCACTTGGGGAAATGGCGAAAATTAGGTCTCTAAATTTACCTTGTAAGTTAGAAGACCAGAAGGAAAGCAAATAGAAAAAGTGCAATGAGTGTGTTTCTAGGAAATAAATGCTGACAGAGCTGCGGCCCATGTGGCTGCACACTTGGCAGGCGAGGCCTGACAAGTGAAGCAGAAACATTGCTCATATAGGATTTTAGTCAATGTCTGCAACTTGAGTTAATCTCCATGAAATGTGCATCTGCTAGTGACTGAATGCAAGATGGAACAAAACAAGAGAGGAAACGGACATACTTTGAAGTTTTTGATTCTGTGCTTTGAATCCTCCAGCTGCTGCTGTAGAGAGCCCACAATTTCCTTGTATTTGGTGTATCTCTCTTCAATTATCTCCCTTTGATGATGAGATTCCTGGAAATACATAAAGTTCTGACTGTTTTTGTAAGGTGAAAGAGTAGCTAAATAAAAATATCACTACTAGAAATTCAGAACAGCAAGGGTTGATTAAATATTGGCTTTTAAGGCTAGAAATATAGAGACCCTGTTACCTTGCTGGTGATGAAAGCATAAGAGGCTTCTATAGAACCCTGATGTTAAGATCAAAACAATCAAATTAAAAAATAAAAGGCTTTTCTACTTGCTAATTAATACTGATTAATCAGTGATTTTTCACAACTCCTGCCCCCTTCAAAAAACCTTAAACCATATAATAAAATTCAGTTTATTTCTTTCATGGGGGCAGGAAACAAAATTAGGTAAGAGGTATATTTAGATACAAGCTTCCTTTGTGTAACTCAAAGATTTTTTTTTATACATTACTGTACTGATTGCATATGACTCCAATTATGATCCATCATATTTGCTACTAGGGAGGAGCTCTGTTGGAGAGGATAAGGGGGGAAAGGAGAACATACTTACACATATGGTGGTTGTGGAGAAGACTAATGTCTTAAATAGATGCACTTTATGGCAAAATGCCAGATTCCTAAATAACCCCATATCTGCTTACTTCATGCTCCAGTAATTAATCTATATTTTATATGGAGCAAGAAAATAATTTATTTTTCACTGTTAGACTTATTTGAAAATGTGACATCTCCTTTTAGGCAATTATGGTACAGTAAAATATGGACTGTCCTTATAATGGAAAAACTTTCACACCAAGTATATATAGAAGAGAAGATCCAAAAAGAGGATAGGTATTTATAATTGTGGTCATCCTTTTTAGAGTATTCAGAGGAAGAGGACTCCTCAGCCAATCCAGCAAACCACAGAATCACAGGGTTGGATCTCAGAGGTCATCTAGTCAAACCCTCTGCTAAAATCAGGACCAATCCCAACTAAATCATCCCAGACAAGGCTTTGTCAAGCTGGGACTTAGAAACCTCTAGGGTTGGAGATTCCATCACCTCCCTAGGTAACCCATTCCAGCGCTACACCACTCCCTTAGTGAAACAGTTTTTCCTAATATCCAAGCTAGACCACCCCCACTGCAACTTGTGACCATTGCTCCTCATTCTGTCATCTGCCACCACTGAGAACAGTCTCCCTTCGGAACCCCTCTTCAGTTAGTTAAAGGCTGCTATCAAATCCCCCCTCACTCTTCTCTTCTGTAGACTAAATTAGCCCTAATTTCTCAGCCTCTCCTCATGAGTAATGTGCTCTAGTCCCCTAATAATTCTGTTAGTTGTCTGAAGAAAGTCTTATCTACCTCATCCACCTGACCTTGTGGTCTATAGCAGGCACCCACCAGTACATCACCCTTGTTGCTCCCACCTCTAACCTTAACCCAAAGACTCTCACAACAGGTTTTTATCTCATTTTATACTGGAGATCTGAGCAATCATACTGCTTTCTTACATACAGTGCAACTCCTCCAACTTTTCTCCCTGCCTGTCCTTCCTGAACAATTTATACCCTTCCATGACAGTGCTCCAGTCATGTGAGTCATCCCACCAAGTCTCTGTTATTCCAGTCATATCACAGTTCTTTGGCTATGCCAGGACTCCCAATTCTTCCTGCTTGTTTCCCAGGTTTCTTGCATTCGTGTACAGACACTTATGATAACTGAGTGCACAACTTTCTCAGTATGAATCGAGGTCCTCCTCTGTTGAATCTTCCTCCTTATATTTCTTCCCAGTATCCCACTCCCCACTTACCTCAGGGCTTAGGTCACCAACCCCCAACAAACCTAATTTAAAGCCCTCCTCACGGGGTTTGCAAGCCTGCCTGTGAAGATGTAGTGGCCTGGCTTGTGGCACTTCTCACAGCTCCCATTGGTCAGGAAGGGTGAACTGCAGCCAATAGGAGTTGAGAATAGCCATACCCACAAATATGCAGGTAAATAAAGCTTCTGACAGCCTGCCAGGAACTAACCATGGGGAACCATGTCCCGCCCGCTGGCCACTTATTGCTCATCCTTGTTATAAGATATCACTGGAAAAGTTATAATCTGCTGAATATGTATATTATATTTGTGTGCACCTATTATTCCTGTATTTGAAGATAGAAATATGGAGTACAAACATTTGTTATTAAAGTAGTCTTGCTAAGTGAGGGCCATTAATGTAAACAATTAATTGTAAATGGAGTTTTTTTCCTGTAAACAAGGGAGGAAGGGCTATGTTTAGATCTACCAAGACATGTGGACATGTCACCTGATGGTGGGACTCATCTTGGATGCCATACTTTTTCACTGAAAAGTGTGAAAAAGTTTAAATGGAATACAAAAGATTCCCACCTTTGGCAAAATCTACATAAAGGTGGGAAGTCAAACAACAGGGGCTTCTGGCTACCTCTGCTAACCACCCAAGATGACTTCTAGAAACATCTAAGACTGAACAGAGGGAAGCGTCCATGTTGGAGGAAACTGAAGGGTCTGGACAGGGTAGTGAGATGGCCAAAGGGCAGGTAGGTGGACTCAGTGGTATTTTAGCACAGCAAGTGACAGATATAAGGGGTCTCTGTAACCGAACCCATCACAGGACCTAGTTTACAAAGCCTTGGAATGAAAATAAATCGGAACACAGACACATATGATAAGTTAGCCAACACACCACCTAAATGAGTCAGTGTAGTGGGGTGCAACAGAGGCTATGAATCATAATTTCACACAGAAGTACCCCCTTTTCCCCAAATCCACTCTTCCACTGACATTGTGGGACAATAATGTTAGTGCTGGAAAGAGAAAAACAGTGTTGAAGTGCTTAACTTTTTCATCCTACAGCAAAGTGAAATTTACTGGCAGTGTCCTGTAATATTCCAGGACTCTGCTGCACTTATCAGGATCTAAAAGAGAAATTATTTCCTATAATATGGAAGCATCATTTTTAAATATATCTGTTCAAAGTGAAATACTAATAGTGTCTGAAATCCACATCTACCTTCACAGCAAAGGGATAAAAATCTACCTCTCTGTAATACTGCAAGCAGGCAGTTACTGTAGCTTAATGTAGGAAAACATTCAGAAAAGACAGAATTTTCAAGCATTTACATGATAACGACCACATACCTGGTATACTAATTAGGAAACACAACAGAACTCACTTTTAATAAATAATATTTTTTGTACTTCAGATTGTACCAAGTGACAAGCTTTCATACAGGGTTATATAGACATATAGAACTAGACATATGCCTGATCAAAAAACCAGGATTTGAACTGAACCCTGAGTTGCAGATCTATATTATAGATCTGCAATCTACGGCAGACTGACTTGGAAGAAAGTATTCCATGTACTAACTCCTCACAACCATTTTCTACAGTATTTTGGTGTTTTTGGAGGTCTCTGTTCAAATACGACTCAGGACTGATACTACTTAGCTTGTAGGATCTGAAAAAGTTGTAGTACAGCTGAAATGTCCTTTTGAGAGTACTTCTCTGGCTTAGAAAATGCACTCTTATTAAATATGTGAGCTTTCTTGGTATATTGGCTTGAGAAAATAAGCTTGGACATTTGTGGTCAGAAATATGGTTACACAAAAATGTCGTGATCTTACTCAACAGAGTAAGATTATGATGATTAGAGCTCCATGTCTGTCACAGAGGTTGTGGAAGTCACACATTCCTGATTTTCCATTACCTCTGCAGTGGCCAGTGAGGCTGACCCAAAATGCTGGAAGAGATCTGCACCCAGCTGTACCAGTCACCACTGGAATGGCCCCCATGGCTAGACATACCAGCTGCTGCTGCTTAGGCCGCCCCAAGTAGCAGCTAGTATGGCTGGCCCAGGGGACTACGTAGGCAGCCAGAGCAGCTGCTGCTCAGTGGTCCCCCGCAGCTGGTGCTGCTCCCCTCCTCCCCCCACCATTATCAGTATCCCTTCCTCACCACTAAGATTTAGTCTTGAGTATAAGTCATGGACAGATCACAGACTATGAATTTTGGTTTACTGACTGTGATTTTTACTAAAATCACCCATGATTAACTCATAGCCTTAATTATGATATTATAACTATTTATAATTTGAATGACTATACAGCCGCATCAAAGTTAGTGGCCTTTCTGTGCTAGGAACTCTATAAAAGCCATAGATAGAGACAGTCCCATCCTCAAATATCTTAAAATATAAAACCTGTGGCCCATCAGGTTTCTGTGTGTGGTCCGTGAGACATTTTTGTTTAATGTTGCTCATGCGCAGGGTTGCCAGATTCCACTGATTTTCGTATATGTAGTGTTTTCCTACTGGTACTACTGAAGTGACATACATGAAAACTAAGGGCATGTGAAGTGACGTACGTGCTGATTGTGGATAACAACCATTGACTTTGAGAACCCTTTGCATCCAATCAAAATGCAGCATTGCACACCCCACAAATGTTAGGTATGCAAGCAATTAGCAAACTATCTTATCCTGGGAGACCATTTTGGTTATGACAATCTTGAGGCCCACTGAGACAAAGGAAGGCTACTCATGTGGGACACTCACCAGCCTGGGTTGTACATCACTGATCTAAACAGACAAGGCAGACAAAGTGAAGAAGAAATTAAGTAGTGCTCTCCTCATTTTACCAATGGAGAACGGAAACAAACAGAGATTACATGGATTTGCCCACAATTACACAAGAGGTCTATGACAGAGCAGGGAGAGAAATCAGATCTTTTTAATCCTTATTTATTTCACTATATATTTTCTCTACATAGTTTACTGACTAAAAGCATTTTTCCCCTACCATTACTTATGGGTGGCTTTATTGACTCAACACAGTTACTGGAGAGTAAGTTCGGGTCTAATTGGGCAAGCATTTCACCAAAAGATTTATTAGTTCAATGTAAATATCAGGACCCTCAGTACTGATTATGATGATTATACAAGTCAAAAGAACTCAACTTCTTATCACAGGTTTAATTTTCAAAGCTGGTACATGAGTACCACCAAATTTATTTACTGGGTAGAAGCTCTTCAGAAAAGACCTTAAAAATGGAGGTTCTGTCTGTTCTATGTGGCCATTACCCAACTCATTTCACTTCTCTGAAAAGTCTGCCCAGGTGACTCCCTAAAATTCTCCCTGCACACCTTTTATGCAGAAGGGTTTGCTTCCCCACTCCAACACTGGCTATATTTCAGCGTTCATGTAAGTACAATAATCAGAATAAATGCTTTCCTATTGGTAATCTCACAGTGCTTCACAAATACTAATTGCCCAGACACTCCAACTCCTCTGTGAGTGTGAGGTATCATCAGCTCCATTTAACATGGAAGGAAAGTGAGGCATAGAGAGGTGCAATTTCTTTCCCCAAATCACATTGCCAGGATTAGAGCTCAGGAGTGTGATGCTGGACTCACTCACGCTGAGGTATATCGGAACTAGAGTTGGATAAAATATTCAGAGCAAATAGCCTATTCACTAAAAAATATAGTTTTGTTCAAATGGAAACTATTTGCAAATTTGATTTGAATTTGCCAAGTATGTTTGGGATTTACGGTGTCCTTCACAAAACTACAAAAGGAGGTGGTGTTTGTGGTGTTGATGGTACACCACCTCTCAATTTTTAGCTCAATGATTAGTACAGTCAGCTAGTGTCTCCAGGTCTGGTTCTCTCCTCCACCTGAGGCAGAGAAGGAACTTTAAATAGAGTAGCCCCAAGTTGCAGGAGACTGTGCTAACCATTAGATTATGGAATATTTTGGTATGGGTGTCTCACTCTCTCTCCCCAAAGGTATTCCACTTTTATAAACAAATTATAAAATACTATTAATTGCTACTATGAATGACAATAAATAGTCATTGGTCCAGAGGAAAAAATATGAGATTACTCTATAGCTCTGTGGTTAGGATACTCACCTAGGTTATAAAAGACCCAACTTCAAGCCCCTACTCCAATGTCTAGTTAATTATTAATTCAAGTGGAAGAACTTTTGACAGGAGAGCCTGAAAAAGACCAGAACGTCCCATAGTTCAGTGGCTAGAGTGCTCTCTTGAAATACATGAAACCCAAGTTTAAATTCCTCCAAGATGAGGTCTGAATCAGTCCCAAAGTCTCCTAACTCATAGTCTTATGCTTTAAAGACCAGTATATGGTGTCTTCAATACACATCATTTGTGAAGTGCTTGTGGATCTCTCAGTCTGAAAGATTATATATAAAAATAAATGCAAATTTATGTGCATTTTCACTTACAGATGTTTTAAACAATTCAGATTTAAAAGTTTGATTGACTTATTGGGTCTCCAATTTTCCTTTAGAAAATAACAACAGGTTTTCAGAACAGAATTTCCTAATTTTATGTGGCTGTCATGAATGTAAAAGAATTAAAGCACAGCAATTTAGCCACTAAGTCCCAAAAGATTTAATTGTAGGCATATCAGCCTTGACAGTCTCTCTCAAAACTATCTATAAGTCCCTATGAGTCAAGACAGCCATATATCTTTATTTGACAGCTATGCTGTAAAACAAAACAAAACAAAAAAAAACCAACCCCAAACACATGCTTTCTATGTATTAGGTGAGAAACAATGTCTAGAAACAATACAGGCAGTCCCCGGGTTACGTACAAGATAGGGACTGTAGGTTTGTTCTTAAGTTGAATCTGTATGTAAGTCAGTTCCGACTTACATACAGATTCAACTTAAGAACCCCAGGCATCCCCAAGTCAGCTGCTGCTGAAACTGATCAGCGGCTGATTCCAGGAAGCCCGGGGCAGGGGCTTCCTGTAGTCAGCCACTGGTCATTTTCAGCAGCTGCTGACTAGGGGACACCTGGGGCAGAGCAGCTGGGGTGCTGCTGGGTTGGTCCAGTGGCACCCAGAGCGGCGCTACGGGACCAAAGGGCAGTGCCCCAGCTGCTGTACCACAGGCGTCCGGAGCAAAGCCGCGGAGCACGGAGGCAGTGGGACAGCCCAGACGCGCCGTGGCTATCCTGCTGCCCTCGGGCTCCGTGGCTTTGCTCTGCTTTGCTCCCCGTCCCCCTGGTCTGCAGACCAGGGGGACGGGGAGCAAAGCAGAGCAAAGCCACGGAGCCC